TAAGATATTTCATTCTATTTTCTTCAGTGGTTTCATTGATGATCATTGTCATCTTGAATATCCTTAAAAACTTAACGTTAGGAAGAATTTAAGGTCCTTTAAATGATAATTCAGTATCATTCATACAACGAGGAGCGTGCCAATGCTCTTAATCAGGTTGGATAGACCTGAAGTTGTTGTTAGAGATGTGATTTAGGTGTAAAGTTAGTGTGCGTAGTACGCATTCATCCAGACAACTAACTTTCCCACATTCCTACCTAATCACGTGTTTAATTGAATCAGTCATATGTATTAAGAAACATGATTCAATTAACTCATATTCGAGGACAATATCAATAAGATTATCCATAAGTAAAACATACACCAAACTTGAATCCAAGAACATGGAAAAATGTTCACAAAGTAAATTTACTAAGGGGATTCGGCCAATAAGGCCATCCATGTCGAAATTTTGCTCTGCCAACGATGTCCGGTGGAGCAAAATCAATCTCACATATTGACTACTAGAATGGCACTCATCAACAACATTGGTAGGGGCACGAACAGGTGCATAACCACTGATCTATTCCATCAAGACGGGAGTAGATTCTTGTAAGGTTGAGGTTCGAGAATATTATCCCTTATTCTTGAAGTTTTTAGGTCTTATGTACCAAGGATCATGCTTCGAGCATGATGCCACACCTTGACAGGCCATGATTATACTATATGTTTGTGAACACAAACTTGAAATTGTATTGTGAAAGAATATGCCATTCAGTGTATTCCTGCCGAAGCAGTGCATCACCATTTGGTTAGGTTTTGATGAACTGGGTCGAGCCATTCGGTAGTAATCAGATCCGAGAATTTGGTAAATTTGCACTTTCTACACTGCTGCTTCAGGAGCGAGTTAGAAACATGGAATGATGAGAAAAGTATTCTCCAGTCAAGATTCAATCGGATTTATAAAATTCAGAATTGTACTCATTCATGGACGTAATCATGGTTTGCTGCGGGCAATTTCTTTCATGATTAGACGGTCTATAGAAGCGAGCCAAAGAGCCATGGAATCCTCGTTCGGGGAGTATTTCCATTTGTAATGCTTTGAGCATAAGTCTTCGAATGAAGATTATGGCGGAGGCTTATTCAGCTCTTCCTTGCCATTGTTGGCATAAATGGTTTCTCAGCTTCTTGATAGTCAAGTGGAGATTCACGTCTTGTACCCCACCTAAAGTGGTTTCTATTAGAAAACGTCCAAATCAGGAAAATCAAACTTGTGACGGTTTGACAAACCACTGAATTTGAGGGAACAAGATTGTGATTGGTGCTATGGGAATGAATCATCCATAAGCATCAAAGTTAGAACATTCGAGTTCTAAGACATGGTTTTCATGAAAAACGTCGGGTTTTCATGGTGTATTGTTTTATGAAATCTTCGGGTTTCAAAGGCACTAAATTTGAAACTACAGGTTCAATTTAGTTTATGAACATTTAGTTCATAAAGGAGAGGTTCCTGCAAGAAACTCAGAATGCAATATACTAACTTAGTGTAGTGGATTTGAGTTGTCTTTAGGAACTCAAGTGTGAGAGCTTTGCTACTACAAAAGTATGTGACGGTTCAAAGAAGAGAAATAAATTATTAAATCGTTAATGTCCAAAAGTGATCTTCAGGTCAATAATTTTGGATTCATTATCAGATTAATGGACTACAGGTCACTTTTAATTAATTTAATAGATCTGGACCATTCGGGGTCAATCGTAGAAGCAAAATAATATTAAAATAATATTATTGGATCGAAAATAGAGCCCCAAAAATAATTGGGCTTAATGCCGGGGGTTAAGAGGCACGGGTTGGGTGCCTTAAGCATAAGGCGAGGCCCAAATGTTCATTTGGTGGTGGCTGCAGGCCACGAGTGAGGAATGGGAGACCCTAGCCGCAGCTGGGTCGTGTTTTGGGCCATAAGGGAGTGCACAGACAGGTCTAGCGCAAGCTGGCTTGTGGGTTGTCACGGGGATCCCAGCGAAGGCTGGTTGCGTGAAAGCAGCCCCATAATGACTGCAGGTCATGGGCTTGGGTATGGGTGGCGCAGTGACAAGCCCAGCATATGCTGGCTATATGTATGAGGGCCAGAGCAACAAAACCCAGCAACCAAAAAGGTTGCAGCGTGTGTATGGGAGGACAGCCCAGACAATTGGGCAAGTTGGATGGCTGCGGGCCAAGGCCAGTGTGCATAGGCTCAGGGCTGCAGGCTCTACCGAGGTAAAATCTAGGCCTAGGCCTGGTGATTATTTGCACAATGATGGTGCGGTGGTGTGCCGCACCATGTCCTGATTCCCCCTTTTTTTTTTCAAATCCTTTAGGGTTTAGGAAAACCCGAAACATGCTTCTAATTTAATTGAATACTTTGACTCACAAATTCCACATAGCAATTATTGCGTAATGTATGAAACAAATATATATATTAACCAATATATGAACATATACAATATATATATCGGAAGATAAATATAAATGTAGAAGGTTCATGCATCATAGGGAATGTTTTCATGCTTCATGGGTCGTTTCAAATATCTTCCTTTATTTTAAGCGTACCTGAGTAGCAGAAAACAACAAAAGCCTTTGAATTTGTAGAAGATCCTTCTTGAAAGTCGGAATTCTCCAATGCGTTGTATTACGTTCAACACAGAAAAATTAAATTGAATCAATAACATGTAGATCAATTTAATAAATTAATAAATTAATCATGAAAAGAATGATTAAAACGTAATACTCCTCAAATTGAAGATCAAACTCTCTTGTTAGCGTAGCGTCAAGAGCGTGCTGATAACGTGTTGTAGGCATAATTTACTGAACAATTATGGAGGCCTTAGAGAGAGAGGGGGTGCGGCAATAGAGAGATGTGTAATTGTGGGTATGTGTTATCTCATCCCATTGTGCCTTTATTTATAGTAATAGGAAGGGTAAAACCTTTCCCTTTAGGATTACAACATTTAATAGGTAATCTAATCCTAAATAGGACTGCAACATAAACATTATTTTAAACGAATTATTAAATAATTTAAAGTAGTAAACTTAAAAAAAGAAAAAGAAAAATAGCACCATTATCACAAATGTGAATTGCTTTTAGGAGAGAAAGAGTCATGACTTGTCTTAAAATTACTAAAATGCTCGATCATTTGAGTGTCCCATGCCTTCTTCATTAACTAGATGAATGAAAAATGTGATGTGTTGTTGAACATTATCGTTTGATAAACTACAATCACCAATTAAACTTCAACTAAATTACATGATCTAAAAGTGAGATTTGGCCTTTATTTTACATAATCCTAGTCTACGTTTGGTATGCGGGAAAGAGAGCTTGAAAATGGAAAAGTGTTGTCTATTTCATATTTGGTAAGGCTTGGGAAATGATTTTCTGAGTCATGAGAAAATAGAGGGGAAACAAAAAACATAAAATGACCATTATATCCCAATGGTATTTCCTGCCTAATTTTGCTTCGTTAGTGAACATTGAAAAGGAATTTTGCATTTTCCTTTCTCAAGGAAAAGACATGGGAAATTAATTTTCATGAATTCCTTTTAGTGTACCAAACACAATTGAAGTAACAAGCACCCATGAAATTTGGTAAGAAAGAAAAAAATTGAACAAAAAGAAAAGAAAATGTGAACAATTTTTGCACACATACCTATTTTCTTATTTTGCATACTTTATTTTTTTTAACAAACGATATTATTTACACCATTTAAAAGGGGTAGATTTTACTTCACGAGTTATTAATAATACAGTTTAAATTCGTATTTAACGAGAATTGAATCTATAACCTCTCACTTTTAATTTAGCATGCTTAAATAAATTTTCATGAAAACAAATCATTTCCCAAAAAGAGAAAATTCCCCCAAAGTTTTTTCTCCACCGTTGGATTATGAAATGGGAGAAGATGTAGGGCCCGGCTTCAGGATAAAGATTCCTTCACTATGCCTGTGGCCCCACGACCAATACAAAACAATATAAAAGAGTTTTGAAAAACGAAAGAGGATTCTCTTTGATACTCTTTCTTAGAATTCAAGGAGATTCTAAAATTATGTTCGTTTATCGTATATTGTGTGATAAAAAATTATTTTAAATAATTTTATTTAAAATTAAATATAAATAATACTTAACAAAAACTGATCATACGATGTACGATAAATGAATACGATTTGAAGATCCTCATGATCCTCACAAAAAAGATCCGAAGAGGATCCTCATTCTTGAAAAACCAAGAGGCGACAAGAAAATTAGGACCACCTTCTCTGCAACATAAAATATTGCAAAAACAAAAACCATTTTAATTGCCATTGAACCAATATTTTAGAAAACTAAAAAAAATAAAAAATTGTCAAATAATAGAATTACTATACTAAATTAAACTTATGTATAGGTGAGTTTTTTTCGTATCAATGTGCTGAACACCAAACATGTTGCTTTAGCTAATTTAGTTAAACCGAGTTTGGAAAAATAAAACTTGCTAGTGAGCTACATTTGCTACAAAATTACAAGTAATGAATCGCCGTTATAGGCGGCAAGGCACAGCTCCATTTCAAAGTCCAAACTACAAATAATAGAAAAATGGTACACAAAATTTCCCTTTTGATTTTTTTTCTAAGAAACGAACACTAAATGTGAGAAGGTAAACTAAGCCTCACACTAAACAAGTAATAATGTTATTCAAATTTATTTTTAGCAAGAATCGAACACACCTCTCATTTACAAATTAAAAGAAAAACTATTAGATCGTAATTGTAATTAATTCTTTTTGAAATTTGAATAAAAAAAAAGGAAAAAGCTGTAGGAAAACAAAAAGTGGAATTTTGAGGTTTCTGGAGGGGATCCAATTCCCTCTCTCATCTCTCTCAACCTTCTCAGAGCTTGATATCCACAAAGAAGCACATGCTCTTCACTTGTTTACTAATATAATAATACTATTGAGAGTACCCAAAAAGGTGAAGTAGAAAACAAGAAATGCAAATCCAACCCAACCCACATTATGTATGCTTCTGCTTTTGGTTGTTCATCTGACATTCTACAGAGATTTTTGCAGCCTTTCTTGTTTATTTATTGCTCTCTATCATTTTTATTGCTGGCCTGTAAAATCTTCAGTCTCAAGTTTTGAAGTTTGAATCTTTACATTTACTTATTACTGGCTGGTTGGCTGGCTTCCAACTAACTTTTGAGGTTGCTGTGCTCTCCAGTCAAAAGGTATTTTGATCTGGGTCTTCTTCCTTTTAATCCTTCTTAGTTGAATTTTAGTCCATTAAAATCTTGATTATTATTTGAATTCGATTTTCTAGGTTGCTCTTCAATTGGAGCTTCTGTGTTGGCTACTTTTGTTTTTTCAATTATTTTGCTGCTTTTTCTGGTGCAAGCACTGTTCCATTCATCCGTATTTTGGCTTCTGAAACTGGATTTTCTGCAAAACTTCATCAATTTATCAATTGGGTTGTTCTGGTTTGTAATTTCAAGAACTGGGTTCTTCTTCTTTCGTGATTTCATGAATTGGGCTGTTCTTCTTTTGTGATTTCAGCAATTGGGTCTTCAGTGATTGCACAATTTCATGATATTTTCACTATTTCAATAGCAATTGATTGAGTTGGATGTGATGCTGCTGGAGTTGCAAATCGTTGAGTCTTTTTCATTCTTATATAAAGCGATAATATTTTGTTTGGGTTTACATGGTTTTTGGAGTGGATTTGAAGCAAAGCTGACAGAATGCGATAAGCGAAGTCATTCTTTTTTACTCAAATGCTTTGGATTTGGTGGAAAGAATATTGCTTTCTGATTTTGAAGGGCTTGGCTGTATTGGTTGGAGTTCAGTTTTGCAGCAAAAGTTGATACAGATTTGGGTGTCGGCTATCTATTTTTTGCTTTCTTGTTTTGTTTTCTGCAACTTTGATGAGGATTCGTGGTGGGTTTTCAATGACACGTCTGTAAACTTGTAATTGTGTGTTGTAGATGAACACATTGTGAAATCTAGTTGAGGAGTTGAGAATTGAACTGTAACAGTAGATGGAGCGCAAGTGGTTGTGGAAGAAGAAGCCTTTGGAGAAGAGCTCTGGAGAAACTGATAGTTCAGGTTCAGTATCTTCGAACTCAGAGAGGTACTCCGATGAACAGGTGGGTAGCTGAACCCTGATTACCACAATATTTGAGTTCAACTTTACTTCTGCAAAGCTTGTACACACTGTTCTTTTGGCATTTAACTAAGTAACTAACGTATATTGTCCTCAATTTCACATAAACGGCTTTGCTCCCTACCCCTTTAAAGCCTTGCTTTATTGATGAATTTTTATGTCCTTCAAAGGTTGAAGATTGCATTTACAGTGGAAGTTTTCTGTCCATTTCTTTGTTGTCTGGATAGACTCTTAATGATGTGAAGAGACAAATAATGTACCGTAACTACCGTTGCTTATCCCCACACGATTGCTTTAGTTTACTATGCTACATATTTTTCTCATTTCTGAAACATATGTCCAAAACGTAGTAATATGCACCTACCTATGCTAATCAATTGCATTCAATGACCAAGTGTTCTAAACAACTATTAGATAGATTAGGCTGTTCTGATTTGGAATTTGTGTTTCGTATTCTTTGTAGCCTTGCACAAGGACTTTTTGCCTGCCCGTGTAACCAAACAATTAGGATGCATTTCCTGTTTGAGATACCCTTATCATATCTAGCTAGTTGGTGTCGTAGAAAGGCTTATGTCCTCCCTCTTGCTTGTTTCTTGTCTTCGTTGCCTTGATATGGTATGCATGCCATGTCTTAGCTTAAGTGGCAGATACTTGATGCCAACTGAGTTTTATAACATATAAAATTTTGGTACTCTTGAAGTTCCATTTTGTTAACAACCTCTTAGAAAACGAAGTTCGGTTGATGAAATTTTAAATTTGTAACCCCAACAGGCTTGGTTGAGTACACGGGGCGTGTGGTAGTTGTGAAGTGTGGTAGAAAATTTTTGAAATTGTTATCTCAAGTAGGGGAATTAAAAAATCGAAGTTTTGGTCTAGTTGACTAGGTTTGAGGCATCATATTGGAGAATAGAGGGTGTAGTTTATAATTTATGGGTCCTACTTTCGGATTTATTACCCACACTGACCCCTCCTATGGTGGCTAAAAACTGAATAATTACTAGTATTACAGGACACCTTGCAGGCTCCAAAGGAAGATAAATGGTAGCTTCTAGTGTGACCGCATGTATACAAACTAATAGCAGCCACTTCGATTTAGCCAATTATAGGATGGCTTATTATTAGCTCCGCCCCCTAGAACTTGAATTTAATCTCACCTTGCTCCCTGTAACTCAAAAGTTGCCACTCTACTCCCTGAAACTCAAAGTTCTCTTCACTTTGCCCCCTGGAACTTGATTTTGATTCCATTTTTCCCCTTGAAACTTGAAAGTTGTCTCTATAAAACTCAAAATTTGCTCCACATTGCCTTAGATCTGTTAAGAGAGAGAGAATCCACAAGTCAAAGTGGAACGAATTTTGAGTTTCAGGGAGTAAAGTGGTGACTTTTGAGTTACCGGTGGCAAAGTGAGATCAAAATAGAGTTCCAGGAGCATAGCAAAAAATAAGCCCTTGAGTTTTCAGACTGTTTCATATCACTCTAAGAGACTGGCGATATTTCCTTTCCTGTTGTTAATATAAGCCTTTTGGTGCATTTACAACGCTCTCAATTAGGCACTTTTTGTTGTTTGTGCAATCCGAACTATGATTTTATGCATGTTTAACTTTGGTCGAATATCTTATGATATCATTCTAGCAGGAGGCACAAAAGGCATCTCTGAATCATGATGCTCAATCACCTGAAGTCACATCAAAAGCAGCATCCAGTGCTGACCATGTTAATTATAGTCTGAAGAGTCTAACGGAGAGATTATCAGCTGCTCTTGTGAATGTTAGCGCCAAAGAAGACTTGGTGAAGCAGCATGCCAAAGTTGCTGAAGAAGCTGTCGCAGGTAATAGTCATATAACATAGTAATGCTGCTAATTTCTTTTTACACAGATATTTTATCTACATAATGATGACGATGAGTTTTAAAGATTTGTGAAATTCCTAACGGCAATGGACAATCTTTCCAAATAGAAGAGAACGATACGTTTATCAAATCTCAACCATGATCTATAGTTTTGTTTTCCAAAGATTTTATATAATTGTCATGTTTTTCTATCTTAAACCATTCTGTTTTTTATGTTATTACAGGCTGGGAAAAGGCTGAAAATGAGGCTGCCGTTTTTAAGTCAGAACTTGAAGTTACAGTTCAGCAAAACTCGGTTTTGGAAGACCGCGTAAGCCATCTAGATGGGGCCCTCAAGGAATGCGTTAGACAGCTTAGACAAGCGAGAGAGGAGCAGGAACAAACCATACAGGAAGCTGTGCTGAAGAAAACCCGTGACTGGGAGTCCACCAAGTTGAAGCTTGAAAGTCAGATTATTGAGCTACAGAGAAAAGCAGAAGTGAATAGATCTGAAGCTTCTGCTTTTGTCGATCCTCATCTTTCTCATAAGCTGCAATCTTTAGAAAACGAAAACTCGGCCCTGAAGCATGAGCTACTGACTCAAGCAGAGGAGTTGGAAATCATGACAATTGAAAGGGACTTGAGTACTCAAGCAGCTGAAACGGCCAGTAAGCAACATTTAGAGAGTATAAAAAAGGTTGCAAGGCTTGAATCCGAGTGCCGGAGGCTAAAAGCTTTGGGTAGTAAAATACCTACTGTCATTGATCACAAGTCCAGTGCTGCTTCTTCAATGTACGTGGAGTCTTGCATGGATAGTCAATCGGACAGTGGAGAGAGGCTAAACATGATGGAGATAGATTCTCAAAAGATGAATGGCTCAGAGGCAAACAAGCGTGACCTGACTTTCTCTGACTGTTGGGCTTCGGCCCTCGTTGCTGAGCTTGATCAATTCAAGAATGAAAAGGCTGTAAACAGAAATTTGCCTGCCCCTTCCATTGATGTTGATCTCATGGACGATTTCCTAGAGATGGAACGACTTGCTTCGTTGCCACAGACTGAGAATGAAACTAGTTATCTAGAATCAGAAGCCATAGTTAATCAAACCAATAATGAAGAACGTGCCTTGAGAGCTGAACTTGAAGCCATGAGTCATCGGACGGCCGAACTTGAGGACAAGTTAGAAAAGTTTGAAGTAGAGAAAGAAAAGTTAGAGGTAGAGAATGCTGAAATTGAAGCTATGAGTCATCGGGCAGCCGAATTAGAAGACATGTTAGAAAAGAAGGAAGTCGAGAGAGAAAATTTGGAAGTAGAGAAAGCTAAAATAAAAACCGCTTTAGCCAAAAGTCAAGAATGTTATGTGGCAGCAGAGTTTCAGCTTAAAGAAGCAGAAATGAAGTTGGAGGAGTTACAAAAGGAGCTAAGTATTGCAAATGAATCAAGGCAGAATATTGAGTCTCAGCTCATTAGCATGGAAGCAGAGGGGCGGACCATGTCTGCTAAGGTTGATTCTTTGGAAGCAGAGGTTCAAAGGGAGAGGGCTTTGTCAGCAGAAATTGCCATCAGATGTCAAGATTTAGAGGAGGAGCTATCAAGAAAAAACGAAGAATTCAAGCTTCAGAAAACTGCTTGCTCGAACAGTGAATTGAAGAGAAAGCAGGTTGGTGATCAAGGACTTACCCATCTACATTACGTCTTTTGGTATTCGATTATTCAAACCATTTACCTAGTTAAAACAACTGAATATGCCGTAATTTAATGTTGTGGTGACTAATATTCCAGGAAGACCTAGCTGTAGCAGCTGGAAAGCTTGCCGAGTGCCAGAAGACAATAGCATCGCTTGGAAATCAACTCAAATCTCTAGCAACACTAGAAGATTTCCTGATAGACTCCGAAAGCCTCCCAGGGTTCACTGCTGTTGCGCCGCAGATTCCTAAAGCTGATGAACAGTGGAAGTTGCATTCCAATGTGACATTTTCACCTAAACGAGATTCTGTATCAAAACCAGCCGATGAGAGTTGTGGGCCTTCAACAAATAGAAATGAGGACAACTCCCCACCATCTTCGTCTGCATCAACCTCATCCACTGTGTTGTCGACTCATGTCAGCTCTGACAAGAATCGAAATGGGTTTGCAAAGTTCTTCTCCCGAACCAAGAGTGGCATACGACTAGAAATTTAGGCGAGATTAATTCTTTAGTAGAGAAAACAAGAAACATAATTGGTTTCTGGGGTTTGTATTACAGGGGAAGTTAGTGCTGCAGTTTATTTGCAAGAGATTCTCAGCTCTTATAATTTTATCCTTTTTGGGGCATGTCAGATGCGTTCTTGTGAGATTATGTAAAGATGAACAAACGAAGGAACCGAGTCGAATTGTTATGGTCATGGAATGTCGCGATTCAACGGCCACACAGCTAGAAAATGGAAACTCCTCCACGATGGTAAACAGTCGTGAACAAGTTTAAAATATCGATGATATCGAAAATATCGATAGTCCAAAAACATGGAAATTTCGATGGAAATATCGCGATATTATCGATATCGATAAAAATTGAATAAAAACCATGAAAATTGTAAGAAAAATTTGGAAATTTTTATTGAAACTTTGCATGATGTTTATTTAGTCAATTATCTATTAGTTTATTACAAAAAAATGGAAGAAAATGCATTACATGATGGATTAACTGATTTAAGTTGATTATATAGCGAGCTGGCAAACATTGTGAGTGTAGAAAATATGTAGTAATTAATGAAAGAAGTTTAAACACACCATAATCATTTATATATAATGAATTAGTACAATATTTTACACTTTATATATTGCATGGTAAGATACATGAGTGACTTAGTACCACATAGACTTCCTATCAAGGTCTAAAATATCGATGATATCGGAAATATCGGTAGTCCAAAAACACGGAAATTTCAATGGAAATATCGGAATAATATCGATATTTTAGACCATGATCGTGAATCAATTTGAAGTTTAAATTTTGTGTTCAAATGTTAAGCATAGCATGATTAACACTTGTCAATTGAACCACAATCCTAGTGGATGTGGATCTCATCCGGATCCTCACATCCTATCCATTTATCGTACATCATGCTTCCAAAAGTCATTATGAATTTTTTAATTTAAAATTAAATACAAATAGAATATCTGATCTTCACAAAGAAAATCTGGAGAGGATTCTCATCCAAAACGACACAGCATTGGCCCTAAAGTATTAATATTTAATTAGGTTAGCTTGCCGTTTTATTTCATCCAGTGTACTCATCAAACAAATTGGGTTCTATGGTGTAGTGGTTAGCACTCTGGACTTTGAATCCAGCGACCTGGGTTCGACTCCCGGTAGGACCTCTTTTTAAATTTGTCCTGAATTTTTTTTTTTTTCATTTTTTCATCTCTTAACACCCAAATAAACTAATTGATTTGATACGGATAAAAAAAAAAAAAAAAAAAAAAACCCTTAGATGGAAACAAACCATATTTTTCGTATAATCACATAATTTACATTGTTTATTTTCTCAAAGAAACGATGATGATTTCATGTGCAAAATCAATTAAATTAAACAATAGAAACCAAAATTATTTGCAACTCTCTGTTTTGGCCTTGTAATTCATGATAAGCATTAGCATGCCGGGAATTCCTCTCTCTCTTGAAGGCATGGAAGAGGTCAATGCCAAGAGAAGCATTCAGAAAGTTCATTCTGAACATCCCAAACAGTGCAAGCGGCAGCTCTATACCCTTTCCGAATTTTGGAGTATCGCAGAAGAGCTTGGCTGTGACGAGAAGGTGAGCTGCCGTCCTTGCAAAGTGAAGGTTACCCAATTAAGAACCCACTCTGCCCTTACAATTTGGTTTCTAGCGTCACGAATGCCAGCCATCCGCTGCGCTTTCCTCACATGCAGAAAGATAGAATGCAGCTGTTGAATTCCTCACATGCAGAAAGATAGAATGCAGCTGTTGAAAGAAACAGAAAATATCAGAACCAGTTTCCTGTTGTGTAGAATTCACGTTATGAGTCTAAATCCCTCTAAAGATTTCAGATTCTTAGCATTTATTTGAAGTTACCATGTGTTCGACTGGGGGAATTTCCGATGGGGACGTTTCCTGGCAAGTTTTAACCCAAACACCATGTTTTACATATTATTATTTCAACATCGAAATATTTCATTTCGAGGTTGTAGTTACTTTAACTAGATAAATCTTAGCAAAGGAATAATCAAGACAATTCATTTACAAGGGAAAATAACTTAAAAACCTAGTAAAGCTGAGCACCTCAATGAGAAATAAATTAAATGAGACTTTCCATCCATCCCTCGTTCAAACAAAATCAGGAGAAAAAAAAAAAAGGAAAAGAGGTTGCTGACATTTTCGTTATCATCTACCATTATGCAATATGTTATGAAATGATCACAACATAACATTACTTTCACGTGAGGACACACCGATGGATTCAAATCGTCTCTGGGTCCAAATGGCTTACAGTTCAACCGAGCAGTTTACACTTTGGATGAATTTTCTTTACACTAAGAAATATTATCTGAAGAAGAAAAGGAAAACCTAAGGAAAAGAAAACTTTTAAGAAGATGGTTCAACGTACCTCGCAAATGAGAGTGAGAATAAGGTAATTGATGGTGACCTTCCGATACAAAGCAAGAGTAAAGCAAATGAGGAGAACCAGATGATGCATCAGGATGGAAGGGATCCAACCACTATATAACCCATAATGCAGCATATCCCACTGACCATATGCAAAGTAACCGCATGAGAAGCACAGAGCTGGGTATGCCCATGGCCAAGTATGCCCAACCAACTCCGAGTGCTCAAACATTCAAACCAAACCATTTCTTAACCACTGACTAACCAAAATGAATACCACTGCAAAAATAAACACGCATAACTTAACGTCCAATATAATAGGAATGAACAAAGATACACTCACGCCAGTTACAGAAATAAGTGAAAAAACTCGTTTGGAAATGTATTGTAGGGGACTTGAAAATTTAATTGATTATACAAATGTCGAAAGCTAAGTACCTCGATTTCGGAACTTCAACTCAAAATGTTCTTCAATTTAGCTATTGCAAGTTCTTATCTTTATCCTATATGCAGGCACCTATTTCGTCCGTAGCCCAAGAATCTATAACATTGCAGTTAAGTATTCATACTATAAAATTCTACTTTTACAAATATTACAGGGAATAGTTTCTCTACACCCTGGGTTGCCACCAATGCCTTCGGGCCAGTGACACAATGTCATTGGTCCAGGGGACCGGAAAGCCATTGTAGCATTTCAGGTTGTAGTCAAGTCTCTCCGCGCTGCCACCATGGCCTTTGGGCCAGTGATACAATGCCATTGGGCCGGGGGACCAGAAAGCCATGGTGGCATCTCGGGGTTGTAGCGAAGTCTCTCTGCGCTCAGAGACCCCATCATATCCAATCTAATCAAAGAAACAATGGCTTCCAAACCAGCCTCAATCATAAGACGACATAAATCTAGGCACATAGGCAAGCTTAATACCAAGTTACAACCTTCTAACCTGCTAATGATGAACTGGGTTTTGAGCTAACAAAGTTCAAATGTTAATTTCAGTACAAAGATTCCATCTTTTGTTAAACTACAGAGCATACTCGATAACCCATCAAACATTTTCAAAACGCAAAAGTTAGAGAGAGAGAGAGACCTGAAGCGGAAGTTATGGAGGAGTGGAGGAGAGAAACGGAGGTGTTGACGAAGAGAGGGTCATGAGAGACGAAACTGAGAACAACTCAGTTGGCCAATTGGTAAAAGAAGCAGCCGGCAACAATGGCGAGCAGCTCCGACCGCCGGTGGAAGAGTATTTCGAACAGGACAGAGGCGAACTAGAGCAACAGAATGGCTAAGAAGAAAGGTCATGTTCGTGTCAGGAATTTCCGTCGGGGTTGTTTCCTGGCCAACGAGCACACAGCTCCCCTGGAGGTTGGCGCCGGTTGAGGGCTGCTGTCGGGCTTCTGCTTCGCTGTCGGGCGTTGTCGGGCAAGTCTCGTCGGGCAAGTCTCTTCGAGCAAGACTCTTCGGACAAGGCTGAAAGAGAAGGACAGCGTTAACTTTGAGAGGTGCCTTTGTGGGGCCTTAGGTATAGGCCTTGAGGCTCACAATCAAGGTTAACATTTAAGTGCTCAGGCGTGCCACTGCCATCTTTAGCATGGCAGATGTAAAATGGTTGTCGTGCTTTAGTTGTATATATGTATGTATCCAAGAAACCGCGTTAGTTATAACAGGTGCCTTTGTGGGGCCTTAGGTGTAGGCCTTGAGGCTTCCCATAAATAACTAAACCAGTGCTCGAACACATCATATTTGTTCTCGTGATTGTAGGAGTTTTCTAACTATTATACTTCTGATTACCCGAATCCAAGAAGTAGAATGAACCCAAATAGGTGCCTTTGTGGGGCCTTAGTTGTAGGCCTTGAGGCTTCCCATCAGAGTTCATTCTTATACTTAGACTCTTTAGATCGATGAATGGAATGAATCCAAATGGATGCCTTTGTAGGGCCTTAGGTGTAGGCCTTGAGGCTTTCCATTAGAATTCATTCCATGCTCAAGCGTTCTATGGTAATCATGATATAATAGAAAGAAAACTAGAAGGTAGGTTGATTACTTGCGCCCCAAGTAACTTCGGACTTCTCGTTTATCAAGGACTGTCGTGGATGGGTTAAGTCCACATAAAGTTCTTTTTTATGCCTTGAGGCCAAGGACTTTTAACTGATCAGATTTACATGCCTGAGGGCTTAGGACTTGGATCTGGTTTGAACACTGACGATATATTCAAATCGGATTCAAGTACTGAGAAAGCCTTTTAATAGTCATGTTGCTAGAAATAACTTGCATATAACTGGAAGTATACAACATATTGAAAAGACAAAACCAAAGCAAAGAAGGTCGGGCAAGGTTAAACCTTATCGGGTAAGGTTGCTCGTCTTGCAGGTTCCTATCTTTATAGTTTTGTCAAAGGTCTGAAAGCTTAGAGGGGTAGAGAGAGAGATTACAAAAGATGAATCGATACTACAGCAAGGTTGAACAAGGTAGTAGAGCTATTACAAAAGGGTTGAAGAGAAGGTTATCCCGAGAGGGATGAAGGTTTATCCCGAAAGGGATGAAGGCTGACTACAGCTTTGTTTTGAAGGCAAATCTGGCTTTGAGCAGAGTTTGTGCTTGCATTTGTTTGTTTGATTGAGTGTCCTTAATCCTGGATTTTCTTTCTTCTTATATAGACAACTCGGGTTAGGCTTCTGTAGCAGCAGCTTTGCCCGAATGTGGTTTGAGGGTGATGACTCATCAGCTATTTTACATGTAATGCCACCATAAAGTGCTTTATGGGCTGTGTAGTTGATCAGTCTACACC